TAGGACATAGAGCGCGATAGCCATAGGACAGACAGACAATAGAGCTGTCGGTGACATAAGCCACGCGAGAGCTGTACGTATGACATCAGGGAGAGAGCGGCATGACCGCTCACGTGCGACGCGGGTTCTGAGCTGGGCAGGATCCCTACGCGGACTGTGTGAGCGGCCGACGTCAGGGCATCAGCAGGCGCAGGCGGTTCCCGAGACCAAGCACGGCGAGCCGCGCCGACGGGACCACACGACGAGGGATTGCTGGGCAGAATGCGACGTCGGCTAGACACGGGATACTAACGAGTCGGCTTCAGCAATAGACGCGCGCGTGTCGACATCGCGCACGAGCCGCGCAGGCGGCAGGAGCACAGTGAGGAGCTGCGCGGTCGGACGTCATCATTCCTGCCGCGATACGCAGGTGGAGATTTGTTTCCTCGGCGGGGTTGGGAGAAGAGGGCGGCGCAGGCCGGCGAGACTCGCAACTCAAAGAGTACGATGTGGAGATCAACGTGGACATAGAACTTCTGAAGAGCGCGAGGGCGGACGGCGAGAGGGGCGAGAGCGGTGGTGTAATCAATGAGGGTAATCTCTATTCTATTAGACGCGAGCGGCAGAACAAGACGCGAGGGCAGACCCAATTGACGACGAGCTGCGCATGAGCCTGGCCCGCACAATGACGCAGCGGCGAGACCAAGACGCGAGCGTGCCGCACGCCAGCATAATGAAGCGCGAAGGCTTGGCGGCTGACGAAGGAACATCCACGATACAGAAATCGCCGGTCGAGTATCGAGAGCGCAGGGCGCGGTAATATAGAGCTAAAAGATCAGATATAGCAGGCAGACACTATATAGAGACGCGAGGTATATTATACATGTACTCTAACATAAGACGTACGATAGCGTGTGTGCGATGGTAGTCGCTGATGGGTGTGCTCGCGCTCTCGCGCTCAGTGTATGTGTCGTGATGGTCGGTGTGTGTGTTGTGTGTGTGTGGTGTGTGGTTGTCGGAGGTAGTCGTGCTCTCTCGTATGCGAAGGTATATATACGTAGATAGATGATAGACAGATAGATGGTAAATATCGGAGCCCGGCAGGATCACTGTATGTATATACTCGCAAAACGAGCGGAGTATATAAGCACTAATCAGACGTACGTAGCGGTATATAAGACTCAAGAGAACGCGAGGTACTAGAGCAGATCGATATACACGAATCAACAACGCACAGCACAGCGACAACGCACGCACATGCAACCAACAACCAGAACCGACGAGCGCCACGCACAGCACACACACACACACAACACATATAATAGAACGTAGCACTAGAGCACATGGTGAAGTATAACACAAGACGCGAGCGGCACAGAACACACAGTCAACACTAACCGCATCGACGCGGCAGACACCCTAAGACACCGACAGCACGCACACCAGCGGCAGACACAAACCATAACACTGACCAACGCACACGCAGAAGACGGGTCAGACTCACTTAATACAATGACCGAGCAGAGCCGTACTAACCATATCTAGAACGCGAGGCGTCAAGACTAACTAAGAGATGCGAGCGGTCAAGACACCTACAAGATACGCTGAAGCCGGTCTATGACTACAGTACTGTACTCGATAGATCGGCCGACACTCAGTACTCAAAGACGCGAGACGGCAGAACTCATAAGTTAACGTCGAGACGGTATATGTATATACTATAAGACACCTGCCTAGACGCGAGCGCAGACTACTCATGTTGACTGGCGAATGTGTCATGGTATACAGACACTATGACGCGAGCGCAAGACTCAAGACGCGAGTCAGGCAGACACATAGACGTTAGTATAATATATATTATACGTATATATCAGTATACATATATATCGTACGTAGCGTATCAGACTAACAAGAACGCGAGTCGCATAAACATAAAGACGCGTAGACGGCAGACCAAGTACGCGAGTCTGGTTATACAGACACTAAGTAATAACGCTGAGCTCGTCAGACACTCCGAAGTACGTATCGTAATAGTCAGCTAGTCACAAGACTGATGCGAGCGGTCAAGATCACCCAAGCGCTGAGTCAGGTCTATGATAAAATGACGCGAGCGGTACTCAGATTAACTCCAATGAAGCGAAGTGGTCAGACATCAAGACGCGATAGCGGCAGACACCCGCATAAGAAGCGATAAGCTGTCAAGACACAAGACGCGTAGACGCAGAAATAAAATATAATCATAAGACACGATGCGGACAGAGTACTATAACAAGATAGCGTAGCGGCATGATCACTAATATATAGACGACGATGAGGCAGACACAAGACGCGAGCTAGTAGCAGTACTACACATAAGACGCGTAAGCGTAAGACAAATGACAGAGCGGCAGATATACAAAGGGGGTGTGCGTGTGCTGTGCTCGGTAGCTACTCGTGTGCTCGGTCGTGATGGGTCGGTAGTGTGGTCGTAGATCGTGGCGCGGGTGCAGTGCGACCTAGATCACTGAGGCGGTTCGATGAT